CATATCGTTGTTAATCCGTGTTTAGATTCGCGTGGTTATCGTGAAGAAAGAAGTTTTTCCTGCGTTGGTCGATTATTGTTAATCGATAAAAAAATTACTAGGAAATTACTAGAAGTATCTATTTTTTTTTTCCATTATATTAAGATAATTAAGCAATTCTTTCGTGATTATTCTCTCCAATGACGAGCCTCGTCGTTGAAATATATATATTGTTCGATCTTGATTGACAAACAAATTCCACGATTATCTTTTTTGCGAAATTTATCTAAATTATTCTTTCCTTGGAGCAAACTTTTTTAATAATCTTTTCCAACCTGTTTCGATCTCGTAATAAATTTTTTTCGTAATCCCAATATTTATAAACAGAATTGACATCGTGGCATGACACTTTGTCTTATTTTAGCACGGGAACATAGTAATTCATAAAGTCAATTATATCTTAATAATCGGCCGATTTGTATTCATTGATGATCACTGCGGTTGGTCATTGGAACGGAGAGGTCGTATCTGTTAACTTCGATTTCGTGTGGTTGTTCTATGTAGATCGCTCGATTATCAAATGAAACGGAACTTGCAAGTTTGCTCGCATGTCTGGAAATAGTATTCTGATACGTATTACGCCCGCCTTTCGGGAAAGATCCTTTCGTAATTCCTTCGATCGATAGAATAGACGTAGGCAGCTGGTAATTCTTCAATATAGCACACAGATCGTTGGACACGATTGTCTCGAGGAGCGATGATGAATTATTTTTTGAACAAACGAATAAAAACGAAACTTCTTATTGATTAAACGGATACATATATATATATATATAGTAGATAACCGAGGAATATGTATTCGTAGAAAAATTGTAAGATTATTTGAACGATCGCTTCTCGGATTTCAAATTGAAATGAGAGATCTTAATCGATTTGGATAGAGAATTCCGAGGAAAACGATTCACGGAAGATTAATTGATGGACCGAAGAAAATCAATTTGATTTCAGCAGAAGGGTTTTAATTTTTTTTTAAATTGAAGAATACCGAGAAAGGATTGTGGCTCGTCATATTGTGATATTTGTATATCGAGTATTAAATTCGCGTTATATGCAACGGCTTCCTTTTTTCCCGTTATTGCGTATCTTTCGAAACGATAAAGTTATTGTTTAATTATCGGACGATTGCAGTGGTCTCGATGGAAAAAGGTCGGATCGGTTATTGTTACCTTTGTTGTTGCATCGGTCTCGTTATTTTTAATAAAATATCTCTGTTTATTTGCCGGCAATTTCCATCCATGGTTTGATTCACTCGTTAAAAATCCCTTCATTAGTTTTCGAAAGTAAAAAGCGAACGATTATTATCAAAGAGGTTAAAAATAAAAAAAAAAAAAAAAAAAAAAAAAAAAAAAAAAAAAAAAAAAAGAAAAAAAGAATTGAACGAAAAGAGAGTTTGTATTTGCTCGTTTGCAGTAGGTTGAATCACATGCGAGCCTTTTTGTTTTCTGTCTAAAATTACCGCAAAAATAATAATTATAATTCGTAATTTCAAATCTTTGTTTAAAATTAGTACAGATATATTTGTGAGCTAGTTATTAGCAGTGAGTAGCTACTCGTGCAGTATTAGTATTATTAATATCGTTTGCTTGATATCCCATTGTGTTACGAAAATTAATCAAATTCCCCTTACTTTGATAAACAAAATGGAAAAAAAGAGGGGAGAGGAAGGAGGGAAGAAATGATCATTAAAAAACTTTTTAATTAGATCAGTAGATACGTCTGAACAGACGAGAATTTTTTCAAATGGAAGTCAAATTCCTTTTCACAACAAATATTCTTTATTTCAATCAACATACCATATGAAAATTCAACTTACGATTATTTATTTTGATAAAAACATCGTTCTCCCCCCCCTCCCTCCCTCTTTTTTTTTATACACGTATGTACAAAAATTCTCGAGTTCGAATTCTCGAATGGTAACTGTAATTCACGGGCTAAAGGGACCGATATCTTTCAACTGATTAAAAAATACGAGCGTCGATAAAATCCGTGGAAAAAAATCTTATCGATCGGGTGAGAAAAATTCGAGTTTGATTGGCGGTCAGGAATGGAATTTCGAGCGAGCGTTATTTCGGACGATTTCTTCGGCCGCGGCCGTGGAAATCCCCGTGAAAACAAACGGTTCGAACGAAAACGTTTTTCTTCCCGGCATTTTCTACCGGCCGTTGAACGGGCACATACGTCCCCATAACTCTTCTCGAGTAACATGAGAAACGAGTGGAACGCCTCGGGCCCGCTTTTCGTAAGCGGCTTACTTGCGCGACGGAAAATTGTTCCGCGCTACTCTTACTCCCCCCCTCTTACTCCCTCCCGACCCTCTTCCAACTTCTTTCTTTTTCTTTATATCTTAACTGTCTCCCTGCCTCGTACGCGCAAAGCGGATGCTCGAACTCGCCACGTTTGCGTTTGCCAAGCGTTCTCCATCGACGATCACGTGAATATTTCTCCAGATATCTATAAGAATCCAACGATTTCTCGAGTAGAATTTCGTATACATTGGATAAATAAAGTAAAAACGTTATGTTTCTTTTATTTGTTTTCCGATAATTTCGTGCAATATCGTGGAAGAATGTTCGTAATTTAGATAAAAATTGTCCGAGTTATACGAATACATGGGATAATTTAGTAGTAAAACTAACGAGATAACCGAGAATGTCCGAATCCCGAAGCGATCGCGCTTCGACTATTCTCGGTTAAGTTCGGCCGTTCGATCGAAGATAACCGAAAGATGATCGGCTTTACGATCGAGGCTTTCTAATTTACCGATGCTTATCGATTCGCAATTCCTAATTTACCGAAGTTAACCGAAAATAACCGAAAGATGATTCTAATTTATCGATATTGGTCAATGGATCGATTTAAAATAAACAGTTTACGCTAGATAGAAAGTTTTTTTTCTTCTAATAGAATTGCGAGGTTATCGCGTTCGCGTTCCAAATATAATTCCGTTATCTCTTTCCTTATGCGGAATAAAATTTCTCGTATTTTTCGAAAGACGATTTAACATATGTTTAAAAAAAAAAAAAAAGAAAAATGTTCAAATTTTCTTACACATTTTATATTAGCATTTTACTTATTCGAACATTTCCAATTATTACTATCCAATTAATCAATTATAAACGATTGTATGGATTCTCGATTAACGTGAAACCATATTGACCAAATTGTAGGAATATTTCCGAACGATGGTTCGGAATATTATAAGTACCTGTAATTATTCGTTAATTTGTAGACGAGTGCTAGAATGATTAAAATTATGGATTATTCCTGAGTCCATAAGTAAAGCGTTAAGTTTAATGACATTCAATATTCATTATTCACGAATTAGAATTTACAAGAAACTTTATGAATTTTAGTTCCATTAAATTTCAAATAACTTTTTTAATCGCTCACAAGAAAAGTTAGTCCAAATATCAAATTAAGTTTAAAAAAATTTATATTTTTATATTTTACCCCTTTTTATTTCACAACAATTCATAATACTTCTTACAACATATTCGATTCCAATCCTATTTTCCAATTGCCAGTCTTTCTTTCAAGTATTCCGTGAAATCCGCTTCGTCCACCCAACGTTATCGCGATAAGAATTATTACGCGTTCGAAGCGATAAGATTCCCTTATTAGTTCGAGATTAGTTTTGACCAAGATTGTCACGCGAATAGAACCATTTACCTCTGATTCCGATACCTCAGGATTATCTTAAAATCGCTCGCGGGATGGAAAAAAACCACGCGAAATCATTTTTTATGGATGAGACACGAGTTGGGAGAAGACAGCGTCAAACTACGATTTTTATATCGCGGTTATCTAATCTAATCAACGTTTCTTTTTCATTTTTTTTTTTT